AAAGGTTTCAACCATTTATTTTGCAACCATGAATGAGTTATTCCACGCGCTATTCGTTATCTAGTTTAGAAGCAAGCAAAGTATGGGTGGTGTTTTCAATATAAATGTAAACAACAATTATCTCGAGCTTTTAACCTACTCTACTTCCTGTTTGAAAGTATACAGCTGCTTACTACAGCTTAATCTACGGGGCGATATTTTCAGAAAGATAATTTTGTTTTTCATAAAATAAAATAAAAACTATATAATTTCTGAGTATAAATCTGCTGCATTTCATAAGATATTATTGATATGAAATAATTCTGGTGAGTTTGAAGTAAAAATTTGTTTGCTATTATTTATAGATGTATTGTTAACAAAGGTGACATGGTTGCTAGAGTTAGAAAGAACTCGCTTTTTTGGCAGTCCCGATTTGGCCTCCTTTTGTTTACTACTATTTGTTGTTGCAAACCGTGAACAACCATACGTTGGTATTAGCGAAACGAGATTAAGCTCATTTTACAAATGATCATTTAGGTTTAAATTTCGAAGTCTTTACAGTGTTAACATGGTAAGAAGAGTTTTATAACGATTCGTTTTTTTTTTTAAATGACGATTCTTACGTTTTGAAATGACAGGTCTTCAAATTACGATTCTTTTTTTAAACACAAATAATAAATCAGATAACAAATAACAAGAAATACTCAAGTGAGTCTCAAAACACGTTGTGAACCAAATGGCCTCGAAATAATAGCAACCCTGAAATATAAGCAGTAAAAAGCTTTCAGTGCATCCTAGTGTAAAAAAACACCTTCCATTGCTAAGTTGGTGATATTTTGACCGTTTGTCGAAAAATTTCCCTCTAAAAAAAAAGAGGGTATAATGAATGGTATGGTAATAGTAAAATTAAGAGAATCGAGGAAATATATTCCAGTTTTTCTTAAAAATTTCCCTAGCTTTTCTTTTTTTCAAAATAAATGTGTAATAACTGATAATATGTAATAACTGAATTTTATCCTCAATAATTTTTAAATTAACTTTTATTACTATTTTATGTGTATGTTTAAAAGTAATTCTCCCACTATCAAAGGAAGAGAAAAATTTGTAGTTTATAGAAATAATTAAGGACATGCTAAAAGACAATACCTGTGGGTGCATAAATTTTTTCAAAAAAAAAAAAAAAAAGATTTATTAATTAACAACTTGGAAGCTTTCTATAATTTTAACAGAAAATTATAAGAAAATTAACATTTAAAGGAGCATTTTTAAATTTAAAAACACTTTAAAATTTATTAATATCCTACCCCGCAAAAAAAAGAGATACTTGCTCACATTTAACCAGTTGAGAATAATCCTAACAAATTAAATATTTGTAACAGTAATCAGAATTAAACCTATAAACACAAATAATTTTACCAGTGTGTAATTAGTATTTAAACAGTGAATTAATCTTTTTTAAAATGGAACGTGAATAAAAATGCAGTTTTTTTAAGAGATGGCTTTTTTTTTTTTTTTTTTTTACAAAGAGGACCATGAGGGCATATTTATTGGGGGGATCAAAGGGCAAGCAGGGCAGGCCGCCCTAATAAAAATGCTTAGGGAGAACACTGATTGAAAGCCTGACTTAGAAAATCAAAGTAATAACTTCAAACACTGCACAGGGTACATAAAGCATGTTATATTAAGCAGTGATATATAAAGCATTCCATAAAAGTAACAGATATATATTTTATTTCTCAAACTTTTTTTTACAGAACATAAGAAAAAAATATAACTGTTTTATAAAACAGTACAGTCCCCCTTATTCTAAAACTATAATTTCTGGTACAGTAATCTCCCTTTAATGTGAGCAGTTAATGTTATCAATCAATGAGCGGTGTTGGCAGGGGGACAGACAGTATAAGTCCCCCTCAATGTTTCAGACAAATAAGGAAAAATTTTGCAAAATATCATTTATTTAAATTTCTTAAAGTAGAAAACAAGAAAGAGGCAAAAATAATTAATCTTTTTGCAGATATTTAGTATGTATGAGAATTTTTTTTTCTTTCTTAGATGTGAAATTTAGAAAACTGTTGCAATTGTGTAATTTAATTTCCTATTGTAAGTCATGGAAAGTGTTCAGTAGAAGTCATGGATTTAAAAACTCTAGATTTTGCAGAAACCCTGTTCGTACATTAAAATTATTGTCTTCGACCATTACATTATTTACTTTTAGAAAAATCATCTTGTTGCCAAAGAAGTATTTACTGTGTATTCAAAATTTCAGATTTTTATGCAAAAAAGACAGATGATTGAACTGATAAGTGAAAAGAAGAGCCACCTCGTACAAGGCAGATGATAAAAAGACAGATGATCGAACTGATGAGTCAAAAGGAGAACCGTACAAATGCTAAAATGAGGAATGCAATAAAAGTGTTGAAACGGGGAACACAATACCACTCAGATGATTTTTTTTAAAAAATTATGATTACGAACAATTTATTAATAATCTTCTAAGAAACAATTAGAGACAATCAAAAATGGGCGACTTTGTTTTAATTACAGTAGAGTCCCGATTATCCAAGTTAATGTGGACCACGACTAACTAGGATAACTGAAAAACTCGATTAAGGCCAAGAGAAAATATAATGTAATATATTTAACAAATACAAAATTTAAATGAGTACACCACATACAATTCATATTATAATTAAAGAGCTTACTTAAAAAACACTTAAAGAGCATACTTAATGAGAATTAAAGAGTTTTTTCTTAAAAAAGTTCTTAATCATGTTTTGTTTTACATTATTTTATGCTTTTCTGCAATCCAGCAATGTTTCGGCAGTTTTTAGGGATAACAGGAAGGCAGGTGTCGCCTCTTCTTGTTATTCTGCATATTCAATAGCACTTACGATAGCTTTTAGCCCATCTCTATGAGATTTAAATATTTTGCTTTTCAATGTCATTGTCTTCATCATCTTCGCTCTATTCATTTTCATTATTGACGATATTAACGATCATTTTATTGATAATCTCGTGTTGTCCATTAGCTTGTTTTCCTGAATGTTTGGTAGATAAAATGCAGAATTTTTTTCAGCGGTAGTTTTAATAAAAACTAGAGCAAAAAAATCTTTGAAATCTTTTATAGCTCGGTTAAGGCAGAAACTCAGATTATCGGGGCTCTACTGTATGCATAATTTTCATATTTACAGAGAAATATACTGTACATAAAGAGAGTTTTATTTTTGGTATCAGTATGTGTGGCTTGGATTGGTAAATTAATATTATTAAAATCATTGTGTTCTAAAATGATCACAATTAGCAGAGACTACTGTAGATGCATTTTAAATTTTATCTTATTGTGTACATACTGCACCACAAAAGCTGCAATAAATTTAAAAGACTTAGAATAATGATGAACGTGAATAGCATATTACCAGTCACATAATAATTGTATTAGAAAAATAAGACACAAAAAAAAGCTATGATTATTTTAAAAGCATAATACTTTCCATATAAATAAAAAACTTTATAAACATAGCTTATTGTGTAAAGCATTACCAAGATTCAAGTGATAAAAAGATTTAGAATAATGATATATGCAAATATTTCATGGTGTCTCAGACACATTGCATAGGTATATTAAAAATATAATAATATACAAAAAAACATAAGTGTTTTTATAGAGTAGTATTGTTCACATTGATCAAAAATTTCCCAATTTAGATATGAATATTAATTAACCACACAGACAGTCGCATACACATTATACCAGAAATTAAAGGTTCAGAAAAAGTATAAATTATTTTGAGCAAAACACTTTCAATTTTAGTACAAATATTTAAAACAAAACCCACATTTTTACAAACATATCTTATAGTGTATAATGAACCAATAAAGTTATTCTAAAGTATGTATAAATTAAAAGATTTAGAGTATTGATTCGTGTAAATAACTTAAGCAATTTCATAAGCATTTTACAGGAAACATAAGGTATAAAAAAATTATATTTGTTTTGAAAGACTAATGTTTGCATATAAATTTTCAAGTGGGGATGCTTTTACATTAACAAAGTGAAGTTTATTATTGATCACACTTGCTTTTATTAAAATAAAATGGACATTTTTTTATACTTAAAAATTACTATTATAATTTAAATACTACGTAAATATAACACTCTATACATAAATAAAAATGTGACAATAAATTTTTTTTTGACCCAAAACAGTTTGATTCTGATATAATTTATTGCTTAAAGTAAATATTTATTTGCATTATCAATATTATGTAAACAATAAACATAGCGTGAAGGGGCAATTTTTTTTTGCTTTTAGAAAATTTTTTGTTTAAATTTTATGTATAGATAGGGTCTACTATATACATAAAATTTAAACAAACAATTCAACCAGTTGGATCTACTATATAAATTCTTTTAATAATTTTTGATTCATATTTCAAAAGAAGAAAAAAATAATCAACCTAATATGTGTCAGTAACTATATTTTTTATCATTCTGAAAAACATCAGAATACATAGCAGTGAAATAAAAATAATTTTTTATATGAATTGTGAAGAAGCAATAAGAGACTAATTTTTGATTCATATTTTTCAAAAAAATAATGATAATAATTCAAAATAACAAATTAGAATAGACAGATGAGATAACAAAATAAAAAATTATATTCACATTTCAATTGTGAAGATCCAATTATTATAGATTTCTATAATATAGACTCCACCGAAATACACTGCTTTGAATTTTGAAATAATTTTATGGGTTTGAGGAGATATTTCTGTATCATGATCTGTTCCGCCAACTACAATCGCCAAAGGGCCAAATAGATTTCAAACTTGCAAATTTTTTTTTAAATAAAACATGTCGATGTTTTCCCGGGGGTGGCTATGAGTTATACCTTTCCAATTTTTTTTTTTAATTTGCTGTCTCAAAGTTGTCAAGACTTGGCAATTATTCTGCCACAGGTCACGAAATGGAAATCTCCCCGAGGTTTGGATATTTCATAGCATAATGAAATAGACTGTTACTAAACAGATTTAGAATAATGTATATGAGTAGTATATGGAGTCACATGCACATTGCATATGCTGCAAATATAGGGAAATCTACAACCGTTATGAGCCTCATGCATATGCAACAAAAGAAACCTATATCGTGAATAGACCTGTTTACATATGCTGCAAAAATAAGAGAATTCTGGGGAAGAGGGAGGCCTAACTTCAAAGGTATGAGCTAGATAGTGAGCTGTTAAGAGCCTCTGTTGTTTAAAACTTTTGGTGCACAAACTACATGGATAAAAATTCTGTTTGCTAAAAACTGTCTGAGAAGTGATGTATTCATTGGAAGCATAACTCGCTTCAGATGTTTCATCTTCCACAGCAGGTTTGCGAGTCGCTAAATACTGTTTAGTAATAAAACCTTTGTTAACCATGTTAAAAGTATCCAGTATCGTGACTGTGGGAATAAGATCATGGACAATTACATTATCTTCAGGGGAAAAATAATTTCTGCATCGACCGCAAATATAAGACTTTTCTTTAATATGAGAGGCACCTTCAGATTTTAGACTCTGTTTCCATGCTATCATATTATAACATTTGCAAAAATCAGGCAATAGTCCATGGACAAGTGGCATCTCTTGACGGAAAAAAATTCCTGTCTCAATAAAAAAAATTTACTGAGACATATTAAAGAAGCAATTTTCTATAAAAATAGTATTCATGTAATGCAATCAAAATTTAGAAGACAAATACTATAAATTTCATTTCTCCTTCAATCATTATTTATATAAAAATCCTTAAATCAGTGAATTTTATAAATGGTAACACCTTTAATTACTGCAAGTATAAACGTTTTTTCTGTACTTTCATTAAATAAAAAGAAATTTCTAGTTATTTTATTTCGACCGACAATCATAAGTACGAATCAATCATGTGCGATTGTTTACGTCAAAATTTTATTTGTTGCTTTTAGCTTTTTGTGATTATGTATGGTTGACCATAGAGCGTTAAGCACAGATGGCGCTAAGAGTTAATAGTTGTCGTAAGACTCCGGGGTTAATTTTTACTCCTAACTGATTTTACTGATCCTTACAGATTTTTATTTCCGATTGATTTTTACTCCTAAACTTGAAAAAGTATGCAATCCACTAGTATTTTATTTGTAATGTTTACCACGTAACACGCTTGTTCAATTTAACTTCAACGAAACAAAACAAAAATGAATTCGGAAGACTCCGCACACACGCTGTAATGTTACTATAAAAATAACAAACGGCGATATTTTGCACAAATAAAACTAAATAAAAGATAACACATAAAGCATTTATGCTATGATAGTAATTTTCTTAAATTTATTTTAAGCTCACCACATGTCAGAATTTATAAATTACAGAAAACTCTTACCAATGGGGAAATTTGCAATGGTTGTAATCGCAATCGCTGCTAAAAATATTAAGCCTGTTTGCGCACCCCCTCTTAAACTGATGGATGCACTGGAAGTTTTCCGTCTGGTGTTAAAAAAACTTGTTACTGTTTACATTCAGTCAACCATCCATAGCTTACAAAATTATTTGCATAATGGCATGAAAAACACACGTTTTTTGTGCGTCATCTAAACACGTTTTTTTACGCATATCTTGTTTTGCGCAGAGCTTAAATCTGGCACTTATAACGAGACACATAATAGGATTGATTTCATTGTAAGTTGCAAGCTGCTCGAAATGTGTGCGTGAGGCAACAAATCTGGTTCCGATTGTGCAATCAAAATATCAAAAATGAAGATTATCAATCAAGAAAGGAGGGGGGGGGGGAATACTCGGGACGGTGTGACACGTAGCGGTATTTTGCTCCTGGGTTAGAAATATTTTGAAGCGCTTTACTGTGCTAACTTTTTATTTTGAAGTCTACGCAAAAGTATTCCACTTTGTTTTCTCCTGCACTGGACTGATATATTTTATCTTCTTTTTCAATACCGACAGGTAAGTCGTTTTATCTTTATTTACATAAGTCAGGCGTTTTTGCTTTGCTCTAGAATCCCGCATATTTTTTTCTTTTTTCGCAATAAAAAATTATTAACGCGAGAAGTTCGCGCACTCTATGAATCAATTTCAAAATGCACGAATTTTGGGGAAAATTTAGCCTTTTACCATTTTGAATAAAATCCGTTTCACTTTTCTTCCTTGATCTTTTCTTATTTTGAACATCGGTCCTTGTTATCTAGCTTCCCTATTTAAATAGGGAAGCTAGATAACAAGGACTGATAATTATCAGTATTGCTCAAAACCGGTGCGAACAGCAGAACACAACCCCTCCGAACTGCGGAACTCCTTTCAGAACACATTTCTCTGCAACCACGTGTTCACCGTAGGTAAGGTTTCTTCATGTAAGACGTTTACATTTTTTTTGCATGAATGTAAGATGGACAAATAGCTTGTTAAGGCGACATCTTCTACTCCGTAATGGACAAATGAAAATGAAACAAAAGTCGGTAGAAACGGTCAAAACGAAACAAATACGGATATTTTTCAGCCAAATAAATATAATAGCCGATGAAAAAGTAGATATAGAACATTTTCCATATGATGATGCAGCAAAAATATTCAATTAGAAGATGTGAAAATGTATTATAATTAAAGAAATAATATTTTTCCAAGTCTATTCGTGTTTTTTTAATTTTTAGAAACCTCACTTAACTTCTTGAAATCTCACCCTGTTTTTGAGAAAGGGTGAGAAATTCTCTACCATTTTTTTCTGTAATGAATTCACTGGATGACGTTTTTTAGATTTGAACCATAGGGGTTCAGTAACTAACCATGAATGACTTAAACTTGTATACATATTCTCCAGAAATTGAAAATGTTAATTAACTGAAATTTGCCACGAAAAATGGAGTAAAAAGTTACACTATATATGTCGAACCAACAAATGGTCAATCCAGCATACCAAGATCAAATCCTGCTGAACTCAAAAAAGAGCTTCACTTCAAACTTAAAGGTCCAATAGAATACTTAAAATTTACGAGCCGAAACCAACTTCTTTTGTGTACGAACGTACTAGACACCGCAAAAAATGCAATCTCATTAACTGAAATCCTAGGAATACCTGCAAAAATAGAGATCTTAAATGAACACCTATCTACCAAATTTTTGCTTAAAGGAATCGAACCGGAAATAGCCCGAGCTACCGATCTTTGGCTACCGAAATTACAGCTAACTCGAACCTACATGTCCTTGAATTAAATAGATTTACCAGAAGAGACCTGAACAGATCTCCAACAACAACTGTCCTCGTGACTATTCTTGGCCACAATATACCTGCAGAAATTAGAACCTGGTACGAAATATTCAATATTGAATTATTCATAGACAGACCTCGGGCGTGCTTTAAATGCACGCTCTTTTACCATCCAACACGAGCTTGTAATCGAGAAAAGTTTTCACCCGATGTGGACAAATAACGGAACATGGATCCTCTCATCATGACGCTCTTAAATGCACTGCAGCAGCACGATGTGCCCGTTGTGGTGAAACTCACGCTAGCACAGACACAATATGTTCTGATTACCAACAGGAATTAAGGATATGTAAGTTAAAGGCAGAAAACCATATTACAATAGCAGAGGCCAGACACCTTTACCACTCAAAAACAAAAACAAAAAAACTACACTCAAGTCACCGGATCCGACCCCTCATCTAAATTCGTAACCAAAAAGGAACTTCAGACTGCAATCCAAGAAATAGCAACCTACCTAACCACAACTATAGCTAAAGTAATAAAAGAGCAAGTTCAGCTGATAGCTCAAACAATGAAAAAAATAATGATCGAAACAATCTCCAAACAAATTTCCTTAAGCGCAATTAATGACGACACGAACTTCAGAACGTAATGTCATACAACTCGTTAACCAGCCACAATAACTCTCGCTCTCCTGAAAGAAAACAAATCGTCCTAGAAGTCCAGATAAAATGGAAGACAATCAGGCAGAAACCACGCATGACGGGGATCTCCATGCAGGAGAGACTCCAGTCATACCAGGGGTTTAAAGTTTGGATTCATATTTTTATCCTTCTTTTTTTCTTTTTGGACTGTGAGGTACAAGTCTAAATACTTATTGCTCTCAGATCTTAGTTTACTACAGCTAAAAGACACTACTCCCATATTTAAGTGCCCAGCACACCTGTATAAATATCGTCACCAGTTCGTCATTCTACTTACATTCTTAAAGCATGTTTATAAGTATCACTACTTGGAACTGTCGTAGCATCAAAAACAAACTACATTGGTTAGAACTAAAACCTTTTTCCCAATCGCAAGTAATAGCTCTTCAAGAAACATTTTTAACTTAAGAAGACACTTTTCATGTTCCCTCCAAAACATTATTTTGGCAGGATCGAACTAATGGCAGCGGTGGAGGACTAATAATTGCAGTCGACTGCGATTTACCTACGAAAATTATACCCATATCAAACCTACCATCATCCGAAAATGAGATTCTTGACGTCCAGATTACCACTTCTGACAGCACTTTATCTCTAGTGAACATTTATGCCCCTAAGGGCCAATTTTCAGTCAACTGGTTACAATCTCTTAGACAATCGCTCACCAACCTCTTCATCTTACTAGGAGATTTCATCCTACACTACGTTGCCCTGGGAGCCCAGTTAACGTCAAAAGATGCAGACAGGTTTTTCGAGTGGCTTCTTGAAACTCGATATTGCCTTCTAAATTCTAAATTCCCGACTTGCTTTAAGCCAGGATGCAAAACCTTCACTTCTTGATCTCATCATCACGTCTACTGATCTCTTCCCTAAAGTGAACTTTTTTGTATCCTCTGATACATTTGAAAGTGCCCATGCTCCGGTAAATATCACTTTGGATATCTGCAATAATAACCCTCCCCTAAACAAGCAGATTCGAGTACATTGGGACGATTTAATAGCAGACTTAGAAGAAACAATCCTGGCCGAAAATAACTTTTCTCTACAAAGTTTTCAAGTACTTTACCAGCAAAAACTCAAGAGATACAGCTCAATTAGAGTGGCTCATAACCCACGCTTTCCACCCTACTGGAACAGCAAATGTTTTTTTTTTCGATTTGGTAAAAAACAGAAATACTCTAGAATTGCTCGACGTACTCAAAACCCGGATGTGTGGAATATTTATAGAAAAACAGCAAACGGAGTTGTGGAAGACAATCCACTCAGCCCTCAGGAAATACTGGAATGAAACCTGCATTAACGCATGTCATTCCAAAAATATCTATTAAATACTCTCCATTCAATAATATATCACCCTGAGGTCCTTAATGCACCCTCAAACGTTATCACTGTGAATAACAGCGAGCTATATAGTGTCTTAGCACAAGCAAATGCATTTGCAGCCTTTTTCTCTAAACCGTCTATCAAAAACTGACTTTCCCTGGATTTCAGCGGAGCAGATCAGGAATTCAATCAACTTTTCACTTTACAAGAACTCCAAGACGCTCTGTCTTCCTCCAAATGGAAATCACCAGGGCCGGATAAAATTCCCCTAAAAGTACTACGCTCTCTCTCTCGGAAGCAGCTCTGCAAAAAATTCTGGACGGAAC